ACTTGCACTCAAAAGCTGCAAAGCCCTTTAAGCCTGTTAAAGTTTCTGCTTAATAATAATGTAATGAATTGAAAATAAATGTATTAAGGTGTGATTCAGTGAGGTTCACAAGTAGTAAGCAGAGGGGAGCACTCTATGGAGGAGTGAGCTAGGGTGTGGGGAAGGGGTTGGTTAAAACAATATACTTCCTTTAAAAAGAAAAGTATCGGGAAAGATTTACCTTAAATATTTTTGATACCTTGTAATAAATTAATTCTTTTATCCCGTGCTAGAGCATACCCTTTTGCGTGAGTTACAATTGGTATTTTATGGTCTTGTGAGACTATTTATTATGCACTCCTCTTTCTTTGAAACTCGACTTTAGTTATATTCTGCTCTACTTCCTAGAGAAGTTGGCTATCTTTGGGGTAATTTTTTTTCAGAGGTATATTGTCCTTAATAATTTCACTTTTCCTGAGAAGCAATAAGTATGAGGCATAAATAATCATTCAGAGGTGGGTGGGGGGATGGATGGGAGTTAACATCTGAGCCCCAGAGAAATGAAACTGTTTAGCTGAAAAAGTAATAACACAGATATTTATGAGTGACTAAACAGACCCAAACAGAATTGATTGAGTGACAGCTGTCACAGTGAGCGCATCAGAATTAAACTTTATGAAAAAGCCCTAAAGTTTGAAATAGTAATTTTAATAACACCGATCTCTCTCCATACTCAGTAACATGTGTATATTACTTATACATTGCCCTATATATATATTTAGAGTTATTTTTCTTGGCTACCCCGCAATTACTTATAGGTTGCTTGTTTGCTCCTCAGAAAGAGTTATACAAAGGAAAAAATATTACTGAACAGTGTATAACATTTAGCACCAGAACAGCAAATAGATCCTTTAGAGGAGGAAAGAAGAAGCTGTGAGATCCGTAGTACAGACAAAAAGTGAAGAAAATAAAATGATCAAAATATCCCTGAAAAATGAACTCCAGAAACAGCTAAAGATTTTAATACAAAGATTGTTTTTTTAAAAAAATCTTTCTTATTTTAAAGCAAAGTATCTATCTATCTATCTATCGATCTATCTATTATATGGTTTAGGGAAATATACAATACATATGATGGATTAGGTAGCAATGGAAACTTTAATTTAGGAATGGGAAAAAATAATTTAGGAAAAGTGAATAATTTACAAAGCAATATTTAACTCCCTACGTAGAAATAAACCAGCTTCTCTCTCCCCCCCCCCCCCCCCCACTCTCTCTCTCTCAACTCAAAACTATCTATTGCTGAGTTGGGAAAATACTTTTCCACATAGGAAGACAATCCATAGCCAATGAAACAAACAAACAGAAAAGGGTGTCATTTGCCAGAAACTGTTAATACCATTACCATAACGGCTGCTGGCTGTTTGTAAGGAAATACTAGTCTTTCACTAAAGTCCCAAAATGTTTGGTTTGGTACCTTGCCCATCAAAATAAATCATAAGGACAGATTAGGAAGTACATAAAACTATATCTCTGGATAATGATATACGAGACCACAATAAATGTAAGTTACACGTTCGAGGTGCTGTCAGTTATGGTTGCAAACCCGTAACTCATTCACTTAAGCCTGGCTGAATGTTTGTCTTTTAATTACAATTAACAGTGCAGACGAACATTTTCCAACTATGTGAGGGATAAAGGACACAAGTGGCTGTAAAGACCTGGGATATTATGTTAACTGAAGAGTCTGGAAGTTAAACTATGCCACTTCTGTGGATTAGCCCTAGAGCAAAAGGGGAAAACGTGTATCTATATACTGGAAAAGTTTTCATAAAACTGAAGCCACTTAGATAACGCCTGAAGGCCCTTGTTTGTGGGAAGTTATCTCCCCAAACATCTCTGGAGCTGTTGGTTTTTAACAGGCAATACAGGAAACTAAGTTTCACAGCTTCTTGAACTACATTTAACAGAGGTCCCTTCAAGGGTCTGTATACAAGGGCTTTCTAACGTCTTTTTTATAGCTCGTTAAAGCCTTGTAAACTGCTTCTCACTCATGTTAGAATCTTAATCCTCAAAAATCTAGCTGTGAGGGGAAACAAAAAAAAATATTAAGCGGGTCATTTTCAAGCAAATTGGACTAGAAGAAAATGAGTTAAAATAAACTGACCTGAGATGTTAATTTGATCCTCGAGAAACATTTTTTGTTGATGATGTTACTTTTATAGCCCAGTAATATAAGTAGAGATAATATCCAATCACCGAACAATGAAATACACAGTTTGAGGGGGAACATACCCCCACATGATGACAAATCTATATGTGCCGAGGTACATCTGGAACATAGAGCACTGAAATTAAAGAGCATCTAATCTTCGAACACGGGATGATGGGGAGTGGGGGTAATGCAGCCCCGTGTACCAGATCTGTACGTGCCATGGTATATCTGGACCATTTTGCACTCCTAAACAGAATAAACTATTGTTTCCCCTCTCACACAAAAATTGCCTCCCTTCTCGCTCGATTGCATTTACCTCCTGATTTTAATCATCGCTTTGCAAACTTCCCCCGTGTTTTTTAAAGTGCAAAGCTACTTACTTGGCGTTGGATACTTTGATCTGGTCATAGGGTAGTAGCCAGTTGGGAAATAAACCATGGGAAGGCGGGAAGTGAGAAGAGAGATTTGGCCGTAACTTCACCCTTCTTCCTTTCTCTTGGATTATTTTGGTGACAACACAATGCGATAACACGCATTGAATCTGCCCCATCTCTCCCCCATTACTATGGTAAAATCTACAAAGACGCTAAACAGTAGTGGTGCCGCTAAATCTATGTAGAGAGACACAGAAGGTACACGTTGTGAGACCTACCCGGGTCAGGGGGGCTTAGAGGTCACCCTGCCTGGCTAGAATAAAGCTGATGGGATAGAAAAGTTGTCCTTTCAGTGAACCCATTTTTGCCATTTACCCGAACTTCAATAAAGTATCTTTCAGGCTCCCAACATGGAGGCGTCAAGAGGCTAAAAAGAGACTATGGTGCAGGCTGCTTGTAGCTAGGAACATTAATTTTTTTCTTCTTCCCCCTGCTGCCTGGCTATATAATGCATTCATAATCTCCCTCCATGCCAGGAATTGTGTCATGGCCAAGTCTAAAGGCTAAGTAAGATGCTAAATAATACTCAGCATAATGCAGAGAAGAGGTGAAAAAGTAAAGTTAGTCTCAGAGCAAAGAACTGGAACAGAAAAGTAGGTACAAGAACGAAAAGGCATATACCTAAATGTGATTTTTTTATTACTGAATATGCAGACTATATAGTTGAAAATGTGATTAATGTTTCCTTTGCTTCCTCATCAGACACTCAGAGAGAGAACACACACACAACAAAAAAGTCTCATCGCATTCAGAACCAGTGCCCTCTGAGAACATCCCCTTATAATTCATCAAGTTATGATGCACTTTGCAAAAAGGGAAGGGGGGGGAGTGGATCAAGCTTTAAACAGAAATATTTCCACCCAGCCCACCCCCACTAGCCTTAGTTTAGTCTGCAGAACTAGCACATGTAGGTTTCCACTGATGAACACACACACGTTGCTTGGCTATGAATTGCCAGTTCAACTTTGTAGCAGCACCATTATTACAAGGTTAGGACTTTTAGCCTTTGTTTTCTTTACAATGTATATGCATGGTGGATGTGTCTGAAGACAGTGTCTCTAACCTCAAGTAAAGGCTCTCTTTTTTCCCTTTGGAGGATGCTTTGTTACAGATTAGCTAGCTAATTCACTTTATTATATATAAAAAGAATTTAAATGCCTTTTTTTTTTTACTGGTAAAGTGTGTGAGATTGTCTGTTACAGGCAAGGAATCAGAGGGAGAGAAAAAATTACAACCAACTCATAACACATTCCTCTGCTTGGAGGTGGAAATGTTTAAAGAGAACTATAGACTTGATGTCTATTTACTATGGCAACATTTTTCTCCATTCTCACTCTTATATTAATGTCGCTCAGCCTATGTTCCCCTTTCAGGATCTCTCTCACTAGCTATCACAATAGGTTCTGAGACCATTATTTGTTTAAGGGAAGTCTATACATGTTTTTGAGAGCCAATACAAAACAAAATTTAAAAACAAATAAAATAAAAATAAAAATAAAGGTAACAGAAAGATCCCCTGTCCTAATCCTCTTCATTCAGATTTGATAATCTCTATTCTGGGGTGGGTTAAAGAGATCTAATCACCTGGCCAACTATCCTAATGCAAGGCATTGGGATAGTGTTAAATGCTTGAAGAATAAATGTCTTTAAACAGGCCTACCTGAAAATCTGGCACCCCTATGTTATTTCAGACTGGGACAGTAGTTCTGAAAAGGAACATGCTGCAAAGTTGCAAAAGATTGGGGCCTAGAAAACAGCTATGTATAACTTCCCCATTTGCACACAACTCTTTCTTACAGTTATCTCATCCTTCCAGGAAAGTAAACAAACCTTCAGTTGTGGGGACAAATTTCTTGCTAAACTATCCATGTAACTCTCCGTTTGGATCATTTATTCAAAGTCCAAGAGCAAGAATGCCTTTTTGCCAAAGCTTTTACTGTCTTTGGAAGAAGATTAGAAGAAACCTATTGGCTTTTATGAATGAACCAGTTCACATAATCTTGCAACAACAACAAAACAACAGAAGTGTAGAGAAAGGGAAAAAACCAGAAAACCCTTATATTAAATAGGGGGGAAACAGAGACAGATGAATGATATTCTAACCCAAACACACATCACTGTTCCTTTCTCAAAACAAGATTCCTCCCCCCTCCCCAGTATATGTTTGACTAAGAGAATCAGAGATTGAAATACATTGACCAAGTTGTGATGTCATAAAATCTAAAATAGGGAGTTATTTTTATGTTTCTTTAGACTTAATTTAAGCAGTAACTCCTGCACATGGAATTAATGCCACAATCCCAGGATTATTATTCTATTTTTTTTAGGGCAAGGGGAATGTTGAGAGTAAAATAAGCCACCAGACATTAAAGTAAAACTAATTCACACTCACTGGTTTATTGAACACTGGGACTTTCACATACACACTAAAACGCTTTATTGCAAGTTTACAATGATCATGTAAAATCAGTCCAAAAACACAAATAACCACGACAAAAAAACTAGCTACTGACTTTGTTTAAACCTTGCTCTTTTTTTTAAATATGTCACTATCCTTCCCTTTTCTTTTTTTCCCCGCATCTCAAAATTTCAACCAATTACTCGCTCAACCTGGTTTGTGTGATTTTTTTTTTCTTTTGAATCATGATTTTTTTTTTAGCTTTTTTCACATTTATACAAAAGAATTTCAATGCTCCATTTTATTCTCGGCAGATCATTGTGCATTTGTAATGCAGGGGGTAAAATACCTACATTCTCCTTCTTTTTGATTATTCTTATTTGTTCATTAAATTCATCTAACAGAACATTGACCTCTCCCCCCCTTCCTTACCCCTTAAAAATAAATAAAACCCTGAAATGGCGTAAAAAAACCTGCAGGTACTCGGTCACCTGGCTTCATGCTATGTTACATGCATTTAAGCCTGTGGTCTTACAGAAGACCTCATTGTTTTTTATACGCACAGGAAAACTACAAGAAAAGAACCAAAATATATATATATATATATATTAGATTCTATAAATAATCAGAGTCAATTTTGTGTGTGTGTGTGTGATATTGTTTATAACCTTGTGATATCCTCTGCTCGCTGATCCTGAGTTGTACTCGGTGATAGTTCCTCGCTGGGGGCCGCGTTACCAGCAGCAATGGTGCCCGCCGATGAATTAGATGGAGTCGAGGATCTGACTTTGGTATTGGGCAGCCTGTGGTCTTTTTTCCATTTCATCCGCCTGTTCTGAAACCAGATTTTGATCTGCCTTTCCGAGAGACACAAGGAGTGAGCTATTTCGATGCGCCGTCGCCTTGTCAGGTACCTGTTATAGTGAAACTCCTTTTCCAACTCCAAGACCTGCTGCCTTGTATACGCAGTCCTGGAACGTTTGGGCTCGCCTCCATTGTAATTGGGATTCACTGGAAAAGCAAAGATTAGCATGAATAGAGAGAGAGAAGCAGACAGAACAGAGAGGGAAAGGGGGAGAGAGAGACAGGAAATCTAGAGTGGCTCAGGAAAAAGTAATCAGCTAAATGGGTTATAAAGAACTTCTGGCAGCCCAAGACTTTCTATTCTAATAAGAAGGGGTTTCCCTGGCTCAAAAGACTGAATTATTTATGCACCCCTTACAAAGCTTTAGGAGTTTCACACATACATAACAGAATGAACCACATGGCTAAGGCTGCCCAGACTAGCTTGGCTATAAAATTTATGGTGGGTGTAATTACCCATTCCGAGTCGTAAATCCAGCTCAATTGTGCTAACCCAAAGACTCTCATGGAAGGGAAGGAAATAAAAAAAAAAAAAAACGAGTGAGAGCGAGCGAGAGCATGGTGTGAAAATAGGAAGGAAGACAGAGCAGAGGGAGAGAAAAAAAAGTTGCCTACCAGTACTGACGTGGATTTTTTTCATCCATGGATAGACTATAGGTTGCTTAGAAGCTGTGCTGTTAAGATGCTCAGGGTTTGGCTGGTTGCAGGCTGGAGGGGCTGGGGAAGGAGAGGTGGAGGAACTGGAAAGAGCAGTCTGCTCACACAACTGCTGCGGTTTCTCTGAGAGGTGGTGGCCTCCTTGAGTTTGCCCATGTCCCCTTTGGTGCGCGGCTGGGTTGCCGGGAGCTTGAATATTGGCACAGCTGTATTGGCGCTCTGGGTAGTTTGGTCTTGGTGGTGGGTACAATTCTTGGTGATGATGCTGAAAGCTGGACTCCCTTGTCCGGCTGTAATATTCCGGACTGTGGTCTGGGATGTAATTATTTTGCGAATATTCCTCGCATGGAGGAAATTTCGGATCGATGTAGTTAGAGTCCATCAAATAGGAGCTCATGATCATTAATTTCTGGAGTGGAAAATAATTTTTCTCGCTTTGTCGTTTTTCTGCTCCATAAAGCCCTCCTACAAGCTGGCGACCCCGTAAAGTTACTTTCACCATGTGACTCCCTTGTCCAATCACACCAGCCAGCCTAGTCCCCGGATAAGGAACCAAAAGCTTTTTCAAAATGTATCCAATTTGTGTGTGTATGTGTGTGTGTGTGTGTGTGCATTGTTGTTGTTGTTTGTTGTTGTTTGTGTGATCTCAAAACTAGGAGCAAAAGAGTCAGGATGGTGAGAAGGATCAACCGACCCCTTTTCCTCCCCCCGCCGAAAAAGACATATGTGTAAGGAAAAATAAAAGAATAAAATCCTACCGGTTTTGGTAAAGGGGGTGAGGGAACATGTGGGGAATATTCCTCATAATACCCCCCAACCCGCCGCAGGCTGGATTTTAGAAATCTCTCCGTGGTAGGACTTCCCCCCAGATCTTGCAGATCAACAACAGAACAAGCCTTAATTATGAAAATTAACTATCACTTTACCCTGCACAGAATAAGACATGCTCAGAATATGTTGAAATTTTCACTTTAAAGAAATGCTAGGTTACAAAACTGCCCCCTTTTTCACCCCTAAGTAGCATAGGGCAGTTTAAGTGCCCTTGCTAGTAAATTTGTTTCCCCCACCCAAAATGGAATATTGTTAAACATACATCATTGAATGGGGGGTGGGGAGGAAAGGGAAGGAAACAAGTTACCTGAGAGGTAAAAGGGAATATGCAAATCATGGCTCCGTAATTTAGAGTTCTCTAAATGCTCCCAACCTTTGCTTAAGAGATATCTCATTTCCTTGGAAACTGATAGGATCTATTTGTGTATTAAAGATCATAGCTACACAGTCTTTCCACCCACTCAGAAGGCAGGAATGCTTTTGGAGTGACAACAATTCTTTACTTGTTAAACTACTTGTGTGTTTTTATTCCTACTGGCTTTTACAGAGTGATTATGCTTTGTTTTCATCATTCAAAATTCTGCCCTTTCCAGTCTGCCAAAGCTCCATATAATATACATACATACATATAAATAAACATACATGTATGTGAGATAGATAGATAGATAGATAGATAGATAGATAGATAGATAGAAATGTGGTTCATAGTTCCACATCCAGCCAGAGAATTAGTTTCCCTTGCAACGTCCATTGAAAAGACCCATTTAACTAGCTGCTTTAATAGAGGGCGGGAGGAAAGGTTGAGATAACATATATAAAAATGGCTCCCTTTCCCAGATGTCAGGACAAATAGACCCCCTGTGCAAGTACAGAAACTGGAAATCGATGTAAATATTTTGGAGAGTGCAGTTATTGCAATTAAGGGCTTTATCTATAGCTTGCACTAAACAGAGGGGCAGAGGGAGTCGGATTAATCCCTTGTACTGCTTGATAACAATTATAGTTGGAAATCATAGCTTGCAGGGCATTGCCATATTTTACTTGATAACAATAAAAGTGACACATAAAGTTAACTGTTTATGTTTTATTTATTAGACTAAACGTGCCAGCGGTGTCGGAGGCTTTTGGCTCGTTGTTACAGCTTTTATGGGGTTGTAAAACGCCATAAATCAGTCACATGAAATGGTTGGGGCTTTTTGTGCTGTTGGCTGAGACTTCTGCTGTTTCTTCTTTATATGAAAAGTAATAATGTGATTTTATTATTATTATGATCCTCATCCCCAATCATCATTATTATTCAGTCTACCTTTAACAAGCCACCCCCACGCTGTCCTGGCAGAAGCTAAGGCTGTTTTGCACTTGAATAACTACCTTTTAAAATGACATAACCAGTATTTGAGGATTTAATTAGAACAGCTGCAATTAAGGGAATCAAAGGAAAGCAGAACTTTACAAGGCTCTGGCATCGTCCATATACTCCCCTAGAGACGAATTTGTGACTCTCAAATATTCACACAAATTCGATTCTACAGGGTACATATAGACGACTGTATAATTTGGCACTTGTGGTGTTGAGGTTTGAGGGGTGGGGAGGGAAAGGATTGCACTTCAGAATAATGCTTTCTGGCTGGAAGAAAGTTGGACAGCATGCAAAGGCCACTCACTCAGCATGTTGCTTAAGATGTTTACAGATATGGTTTGCTTTGCATATTTGTGATTGCCTGTACTACCTCACACAAAGACTCAGTCCCATATATATTTTGGCACTGTTACATGTGGAAACTCATTAGCTATTTTTATTATTATCCAGCATTTATTGGTTTTATTGGCATCTTTTTTTCCATGGCCTGTCTAATTGCTTACCCAGTGGCTTGACAAAGATGAAAGTTATTAAAGTTAGATATGTTCCATCCCTTGATATAAGCGAGTAGAATTCTATCTCTCTAAAGAAAAGTTGTAAGGAGGGTGGGGGGAGAATCTAGAGTATGCAAAAGACATTAATGGAAATGTATTCTGGTATTCAAAACATTGATTCAAATCTGTCCAATAAATTCCCTTTCACTAGCTATATCTCATGCTGTCCAAACACCTTGGACTCAGACAGGATTTTGACATTTATTGTTCATATTGATGCAAAAAACTTTTTTCCCAAGGCTGCGGGGATATTGAATAAAGATGTAGAGTTAATAAAGTAATTTTACCTAGGCATGTCTTTTTAATGGATGAATCTCGGTAAGCCACAGAGGAGAGGCATTAAAAAAAATATCCACAGGTAGTTATCTAAGAACATACTCGGTGGTTATCATAAACAACAACAACTAAAGAGTTCAAAAATCCCAGGCGTGAAGGTCACCCAAACAATTTCTACCAATGAGTTACTGACCTACAGTTCGAAGCCTTAAAAAAGCCTTTCGCTCAGTGTTCCCGATGGCCAAGGGAGAACTGCAATTTTATTTCAATGATTTGTTATTCTTATAGCTTTGGGACTTAATTGCAAATATTTAAAAAAAAAAAGGTTTTATTTCAAGAAGCGCCTGGCCCTCCTGCCTTGTCAATCTAAATTCATCCCCCACTTCTATTTTAGTTCCTTGCACATTATATCTAAGCAGTGCACAAATATATTTTCCCCCTCACTTGTCTAGTTTTTTCTTTTTGTCTTTTTAGTGGAGTTTTTAGATGTGTCTTTTGCTTTAAGTGTTTGGCAGAATTTTTGTCTCCATAAAATAAGTCTGCAAGGACGTGTGAAGAATAGTTGTTACAAGAATCTGGCTCTTTTGTCTATAAACCTTCCCTCCCACCCCTCTCTTTCGCCTCAATTTCCCCAGCCAACCCAACAATGTCGACAAACAGTTTTGGACTGACAACGCCAAGAGAAATATAGCACCTCGGAAAAATAATTTCTGGTCTTTATTTCCTTCTCTACCCAGGAATCAGGTTGCAAAATATAGATCTGGTTACCATTTCAAGAACATTTTTGAGTACAAAGCGCCTTTCTGACAGTACTGAAGAAAAATAAGTGACTATTGTCCCTGCGGATTCATTGTCTTAGCTATTACCATACTGACCGTTTGGTAACCTGTACCTCAAGCCATTAGCAATCTGTGCATCCTAGAAAATGAAGTACCTATCTACTGGGGTTTTGTTATTCAATGTTTAATAATAATAATAAAACAACAAACCTCACACTATGAACTATCTCTTCTTGAGATTCATAGGCAGGAAATAAATTTTTGAGTAGAGTTTTATTTCAAAGCATTTAAGGGTTTATTTTAAGGTGATTATTATACAATAAGTTACATTAGTGTGTGTGCTGGGGGGGGAAGACAGATAGTTTCTTGCAGAAAAAAATAGTTGGTTTCTCTGTGACATATGCAATGACATGTAATTAATTAAATTTTAATTTTTCTAACAACTTGAAAGCAGTAAGTGCAAAAAAGACCTTTTCTTTTTGTTCCTTCATAATGCAAATAGACAAGTCTAATTTATGCAAAGAAATATGCAAATGTTTAATTGATTTTTTCTTAAATCTGTTGTCAGTAAAAGTAATGAATCGGCCTAAAACGATTTTAATAACCAGAGCATGTCAGGAGAAGTACTAGCCTTCACATTTTTCTTTTTAGCCTCTTTAGTCTCCGAATCTGTAATAATGTAAATATTTACCCCCTCTTTCTAAGATATTAAAGATGAATTCCTGTTGTTTGTTTGTAAAAAATATGCAAACCGTTTTCTCAATCTCTCTCTCTTTCTCTATTCCCCCCCTTTCTACCCCACCCAGGAATTCAATTTTCTTCAAATCTCGTTGAAAGTGGCTTTTTAAAAAGTGGGCGCATTTTAATATTGGTTAGACAGCGTGACCTGAATTTCACCTCAACTGTTTGACTTGATCCAATAGGTCACTGCCAAGGAGTTATTGATGGGGGAACTCCATTGAAATTTGTCTCCTCACAAATGGCCTTTAGATCTTCTAGCTAGTTCAATAACTAGTTATAATGTAGAAGGGGAAAAATGAAGCCCAGAGGCAAACTAATTTGATGTTTCATTTTTATGCTGGAGAAATTGTTGGTTTTCTTTCTATCACCTTTCCCCAAGCCCCCCTTAAAAATCTGGTTTTGGCGAAGAACCCCTTTTAGCTGAGAGGAGATTTGAATCTGTATTACAAATATATTTTATTATTATTATTATTATTACTATTATTTATATTGGAGCCTCAGTTCATGAACTCTTCAAGACTTGACCTACACGAGAGCCTAAAAATAACTTCCTGCTTGGTAGGAAACATGCTTTTACTTTTTTTTTTAAAGAGGATTATATTTTTAATAGATCAAAGTAGCCAGGATGGGTAAACGAGTTATGTCTCAATTCTTTATAACTTCTAGTGTGATTTCATTTAGCTCGAAAAGCAAATATATGTGTTGCAGCTTTGAGAACTAGCAAACCAAACCTGTTAGAGATGGTCCTTAAAGAATAACTGTTTAAAAGATTTGAAATTAACTAATAAACCTGCGAACGGTAGAGTTTTATTTATTTCTTATACCATATATGCTTGTCTGTAATGGTCCATATAACTACAACTGATCACTTCCGTTTTCTCCTTTAGCCTCTTCAACCCTATTTAAAAGGCTGAAAATATGTATTTTAGTTATAATCAATAAATTCTGAATACAATCTTTTCTGAGTCTGACGGCTCTATCCTTTTCAGCACGGAGAAAAAACTTTGATGGAGGATCCTTTTAA